CACATATATTTTATCTTATATCTTATCTTATTTTCTTCTTGCTCTATTGAGAGAGCATTTAGTTAGAAGTAAATTCATGTATATTATCTTATTGAGAAGATAATCATATTTTTGTTACAAGTAAAATACGTATAAATTATCTTATTGAGAAGATAATTATATTTTTATCAGAAGTAAATCTCATATATCTCACCTTATTGAAAAGATAATCAGTTGTATAATCTTTTGAAGTCATAAAAGTTAATAATTGTCATGAATATAATCACTATTATCATTTTAAAATAATTACATACGCATAATCTTAAAATGATAACAGTATATTTTTATCTCAATATTATTTTAAGAAGATTAATATACTTTCATTCGCAAAGATATCTATAGCTATAATATGAACTGCCAATTTTAATAAATCTCACATAGCATTTTCAGATTCTCAAGTATGGATTCCGCTATTTATTTGACATATAATAGTATTTACTTTATCCAAGATAACTATGTAAGAATGACCTCAAAAAAGAGAAAGGTGATGTGTACTTTCAATCTGAATAATAATAATATCCTAGTTACATATAGCTAAATCTCCTTCAACTTCTTAATAATTACATATATGCAATCCTATATTTTGTAATATATCAACTTTGGCTTTAATCTCATTACTAAGCATCTTGTGATATGAATCTCAAATAAAATATGACAGACTAACTCCCTCTTTAGCTAAGGAATTAAGAATATTTCTTAGGTCTTTTGTTTTTCCTATCATTACAGATGAGCGAATAAGAGTTGTAGTAGGTTCCTCACTCAAGAAATCTGGATAAATTTCTAAGATATCTTTCATTTCCTTGACATTAATATTTTTTTCAGATAATTCTGCAAGTAAGCATAGATGCTTTACAGCATTAGGTAATCTTTTAATTAGTTCTCACTTAGACTTTTCTTTCAATTCAACTTTGTCTGATACCTTATCAAAGCTAAGATCCTTGTGATCCAGCTTATATTATTTTTCTTGATAATACTTGAGTATAAAATATTCATTTTGTCAAATAAATCTATAGAGTTGATCTTTTTCATGTTTAATATCACATATAGAATATTCTTTAACCAATTGTGCTTCAAAGTTAATGAATCCTTTCTCAATTCTTTCAATCTGAAGCCACCTATATTTTGCAATAACTAAATTGGCTCTCTTAACCAAGACATTTTCATCATCAATAGGTTGGGATTCCTCTTTTACTAGCTCCTCAGAAGAAAAGGTTCATGATCAGATTTCTGAATAATTATCTTTAGGCTGAACTAAATAATTCTCTAGTTTTTGAAAACCATTTTTTATGAAAGAGATAGCAGGTCTTTTTATGTGTCCTTTTTTTGCCAATCCAAGTAATTGAAGATTAAAATATTTTTTGGAAAGACCAATATCAATGAACTTCAAATAAGATTTTCTAACTAATTCTATAACTTTTTTTGTAAACTCCTTAAGTTTTCTATAATCTATGAATTGAGTATAAGGATAAATAATATGCCAACTGCATTTATTAATATTTGATGAACTTGCTAATACAAAAGAATTTAAGAAAGGCATACAATCTGGTATTAGGCTTAATACATCTACACAAACTACTAAAATTTGAGACATCAAATCTTCATGAGTAATTTTCTTACTATCCAGAAAAGAAAGTTCAGGATTAGATAGATCAGACTTTTGCCTTGCATCAATATCAATTATTAAATGAAGAGACTGACTTCTATCAATACATTCATGAGTATTAGATATTCCATAAACTTTAGTAGGATGATCAATCACTGTATAATCTTTTCCTGTCATCCTAATTATATATTAAGAATAAATCTCTTTGGATTGATATGTCTCTAAAAGTGCTATTTTATTTCTATCAGCAGAGTTGGTATGGTCATTTGATTTAAGTCAGTATTTATAATATGTATGTCCCTCATGGCCAGATTTATAATCAAGATTCATTAAACCTTTGAAAATTATTTTGGCTTCATTATATTCAGCCAATTTTTAATTTAGGCATTATTATTATAATGATTCACATAGATATTTTTTTGCCTCACTAGACAAACTCATTTTATTGATTTATATATATGTGTTATTTGATCTGACAAAAAGTATATGTAATAATAATTTGTAACTATAATAATAATTAGTAGATAAATCTTTAAAATAAAATTAATTATTCTGGAAATTTCAGTGAACTTGATTCATCCAAATAATATAAATTTGATTGAAGTAATTCTTATATACAAAAGTAACGAAACTCAATGTCATTTTATTATTGCTCATATATCCATAGAACTGGAAAAATCTGTGATCAAAATAGTTATAGCCCAGAAGGATGCTATATTCATAGAAAATCTCCAGTACATACTCCTTGTAGAGAATATGGTGAGTTAAATAAATCTAAATATAATGCATGTGATAAATATATGGATAAGTATAAAAGTCAAGAAAATTATCATCAAAAAAAGCAGGCTGAATTACGTGCAAAAATTACTATGTTTGAGAATCATATACCTGACTTACCCAATTCTAGACATGAAGTATAATCATATGCTTGGCATATATGAATAATTTTTTCCAGGATCTCTTTGAGTAATGCTATATCTTTTTTGATCCCATTGATATTCTCATTAATTTTATTATATAGAGCTATGGATTCCAAAACCTTCGATCGAACTCGTATCTTATTCACGTTCATTTTCCAATAGAATTATTCTAATCACGACCTATTCAATTTTTGGATATAGATATACTGATCCGTGGATAATTAATTTCAATTTGAAAAAAGAATCTCTATAGTATATACCAGATAAAATATAATCTACCAATTTAACTATATCATACCAGCCATACTATATTATTAATGTCTTCTGCTATGATTTCTCCATCTGAGCTTAGCAGATATGCAGATGAGTTAATCAAAGATCTTTCTTGTGGATCTAGAGATCAGGCTCGAAGGCATCTCAGACAAATAGGATATAGTGAAGAACAGGTACGTGCTCTCGTCCCTTTTCAAAAATCTGGATGACATACTCTAAAGGAGAATTCTATCAAAGATATGGCTCAAAGTATTCTGAAAAATAGTAATTTATCACATATGGAAATAAATGAAGAGGCATCTTATATTGCTTATTTAGGAGATGAAGAAATGACCGATATTGTCAGATCCTCATGACTTTCATATCTCCGAAGAAAATTGCATAAGAATGGGGCATCAGATGAAGTGATTGATGCAACAAAAGATCATCATATAACTGAAGAATCGAACTGGCTTCAAAAAATGAGACGAGAAATACTCATGCATCAAAAACTAGACCCCCCAGATCATTTTATGCCTGAAGCTATACTTGAAAGACTCTAAGGATACCGTATATCTGATAGTTCTACTGAATAAGCCCTTGCCGATATAATTATAATACTCTGTATGCACCCTGCTAAAGTTATGACTCTTCATATTACCAATAGATTTGTAACGGGATATGCTAAAGATCATGGAATAGATAAAGGTAAACCTAGAAAATTTCGTTCAATGGAAAAAGATGAAAAACAAGCTTGTGAATTACTCACTTGGATCCAAAAAGCAATTGCAAATGGTACTTTGCGGGATCCTGGAATACCAGGTATAAAGTGGTTCAATTCATTTCTAAAGCCTTATGGTATTAAACCAAGTGATTTGCGTGAATTAGGTGCAAACTATACTGCTATGATACATGAACCTGAAAATCCTGGCCAAAGATTTATTATTATGCGAGAAGCCTTAAGACATAATTCAAGATATGTATCACCAGTAGAGCATTATGCTCGTGTACCTTATAGGGCTATTGGATGTGAACCGGTGCATATAATTCTCAAAGGTAGTCCCATAGTAACTATACCTCCAGTGCCTATGCAAGAAAATGATGAAGTCGAAGTTGAGGATATCATTAACCTATATAATTATTAATTACTCCTCTTTACTTTTGTTACATGTGTACTAAGCTCATCACCAGAACCAGGTTCGGATTCAGACCCAGACTCAGATGAAGACTCAGATGCGGTATTTTTGGAAATAAGCTTCTTGTATCGTCTTTTAGCTTCACATGAAATGTGATTATACTGAGAGATATCTGGGTTTGTTATTGAGTTTATAATTTCTTGCTGAATCTCTGGTTTCAGTATCTCCAGTAATTGGCCGAGAGAAATCAAAATTTTTTTACCCGATACTTGCTTAACAATACCGGATACCACACTATTATTATTCTGAGATTCGTGGAAACTCCCAATAACGCCCGCTTCTAATTTTTTAGCAAATTCTTCGATTATAGTTGACCAGTTAGTATCTGAATTGGTAGTAGGTTTAGTCATTGTCGATATCATAATATTATTTATTAATATGCTGGAAAAAATATATTATTGAATATATATTATTAATATAGAATCATAATGATAACTTTATCCTGCAAAATTAATAAAGTACCAGTTACAGCTATATTAGATTCCGGTGCTAATTGTAATGTTATAAGTAAGAGCTTAGTAGATGAGTTAGGTTTGAAAATCGATGATGCTCATATAGAATCTGAAAAACCACCATATATATTAACTACAGGAGATAGGCTACCAATAATAGGGATACTCCATGAAATAAATCCCTCTTTTCAATCCAAAGATAATGAATCAAAGCAAGTAGAAGTTACTGATATTTTCGTTACCAATAAACCCGAACTTGAATCTGTACTGATATTGGATCAGCCGTGATTCCAGGAAAATGTAATGGACGTGGACTTTCCAAATAAAACTCTTACATTGCTCGATGGAACTAGTTGCAGGTTAAATGCAATTGAGAATATCCAGAAAATGCGTAGTATATGAGTCTAAAATTAATTATCCGAACTTGATTATTTTTTTAGTTATATTATATATTATTAAATAATATTTACATGGTTTTCATAGAAATACTCGTAGAGGGAAAAATCCTAGTAAAAGCATCAATCGATACAACATCTAAATCTAATACCATTAGCAAGAGCTTGTTCGATAAGCTTGAAGAAGATTATGGGTTGGAATGTTTATCTGGCGATGAATTGATCGGTGAAGAAATAAAAGGCTTAGATTTACAGTTTCACTATAAAAGAAAGTGACGAAGCTTAGATTGTACTGAAGTAATAGACTTTCAAATTCATAAAAATCCGTCATTCGATCTGGTGTTGGGACAAGATTAGTTATGGATGCGTGAAGCAAAAATAAGCTTTGGATATTCTCCCAAAACCTGTGTCCGCCATGCTAAAATTGTAATAGATGGTATGAGCATCCCGTTAATCGATAAAGATTTTAACAAAGCCAGCTCCACGAAAAATAACTCACCTAAGACCGATCTATCATTGGAGGAGATCACGAATATAATTAAGAAATCTCTCTCAGATATCGAAGATAATAAACACTGAAAGAGGTATCATGGAATATTTTGCAATATACCTACTGTATCTCTAACATCCAGAAGATCGAATAATTTCAATCAAGAAAATAAAAAGGTAACTACGACACATAGAAAAGTTCATATTCCCAAAAATAGCCGAGCTAGCAAGAATAAGAAATATCCTAAAGTAGATTTAAGCGATGGAGGTGGGAATCTTCCAATCAAAACGCACCTCAATAATATTTGGAAGTCGGTTCATTCTATAGAAGATGATATATATTATGGGATTTTTAAAAGACTTTCTAATATTGAGAATGAACTGGAATAATTGCATTTAATATCGAAGAATGGGTAATTAATTATTAGTTATTTTTTGGTCGAATATATATATTACATAATAGCAAAGCTAGTGTCAAGACACATATAACTTACCATGACAGTAAAAATAGTTAAAGCTAAAGTAGGATCCCAGAAAATTAATTGTTGCCTCGAACTAGGATTTCTCGGACTATCAATGTGTACTGATAAACTCCTCAAGAAAATAGGTGGTAAAATTAGCAGAAAATTAACTTCCGAAGAAAAAGATAGCAAATTCATCAGAGAAGAAGCCACAGCTCCACGTAATCCCACTTATATTTACATCTAATATAAAAGATAATATCCGTTTTAATAATAAAAAATCTATCACGATTCTAACTGAAGTACTGGTTGAAAGATATAACTCTACATTACCTAATTTTATTTTGCTGGGTAATAATTGGTTCTATGGTCGCAAATACGATGATGATGAGCTTCAGACTTATATACCAGAAATAGTGACTGATGCAGAAGATGCTTGGGTAAGAACAACTTTGCCTATTAAAAATCTAACTGAGAAGAAAGAGGAGAGAATAATAGTATCTATTGATAAAAGAGATATTCACGATTTTTACAAAGTACTTCCTGGGAAATCAAAAGATTTGGGTACTTCCAATTCGGATACTTCTTCCAATTCAGATACTTCGGACAGCGATTCAAGTAATTCTTCTATATCTAGTTCAGAAATAGAAGTTACACATGCACATAAGACTAGAGCAGTAAAGAAATACCCCATTCTAAAGCGTAAAGTAAAGGGTAAAATTAATTATCGAGCTTTATAGCGGAGCTAGTATCCCGACATATGTAGAAAACTTCTATGTCTGGCTAAAAATTTGTACAAATTGAGTATGGATTTCTTTCCATTCTTTCATCAGATCGTCTAGTCATGCAGTACTTAAACCGCTTTTTAGTATACTGCGACGTAATAACTCTTCACCAATTAGCCTATTCCGATCTGTTAAAAATTTATGATATTTTCTGGTATCTTCATTCCTTTTTATTCCTCCACGATAAAAGCGTATATCTCTCTCCAACTCACCACGGAAGCATCCCATGCTCCACCTTTTTTTCTCAGCCTCAGTAGCAATCAAAAGTTTCACAGCACCCTTTTCGATTTGTGAAGATTCAGAAGCTTCAGACTTTATCCAGGGATCAAGCCCAGTCTCTTCCGTATATGCTCTATATAAGCTTGAACAGATTTTATCTGTCAAATGACTTGGTGAATCAACCAATTTAGCATGCCATTTGCAATAGTCATCAGTTAATATCTTGCCGGAGGTAGTCACAGAATGGCTAAATGAATAATTTTGCTGTAAAATAATATCAGAAGACATGTTATCATTTTATATTAATGCAAGTCAATTCAAAATCACGTAGCTGTCAAGAAAAAACTATCACTATCCATTCGTGTAGTTATCTACTTTTGATATATATGCGAGAGAAACGAATTGGCAAGAGTGAATGATTAAAATCATCTTTATCTTTCGGAGAAAATACACTTCATGCATTAGTGGCTTATGCTGTGATCTCAATTTTATGCTCCCCGCATTTAATAAAATTATACTCTTCTCATCCTTATGACTCGACTTGTATGCTGGACATAACGACTTATCAATAATTCCATAATAATCGAATTTTTCGCTACTAAACTCTATATATATCAGGATATTGACCTAATATTTTATTACGAAAATAAACACGATCATGAGCTGGATTATTCTGTTTT